TATTCAGCTATGTGGCTGTGACATGCAAGCAAGAGAGAAAAGTGAGCACAAGAACTAACGCTTTCACAGTTTTATTGTTGGCATCTTGTTCAGTTTGTCTGGAGAAGCTGTTCCATTATGGTTAAAAGATTTTATTTGAGGATAAAAATGTTGTTTTCTGATTTCTTGAGAAGAAAGCACGGATTTTTGAAATCCCTTCTTTCCGAAAACTTCTCTGCAAGGATATCCTGCAGCTTAAATCCCTGAGAGCAATTCAGATATAGCAAGTGCCCCAGCTCCATAGGCTACTCAGTCCTATTCCTCCTTCCTTTTTTTTGCTAATGAATCTGGATTTCTTTTCTGGGTGATAAAAGAGACATACAGACTCAGAGTGTTTCCCTTCTCAGCTTGAATTCTCATAGGAAGCAAGCTCTCCAGGGAAGGAATGGTGCCATCACAAAGATGCTGATGCACAGAAGGGGCTTAACAAGGATCTCCTATGCTCTGAAAATGGAAATTTCTCTCTGAATTAGTTCTCAGTTTCTCCATGCTCCAGAAACATGGTTGGAAAATGGAGCTGGCAGAAAATTCCAGCCTCACAGAAGTGCGGTGTGCTCCAGCATCTGAAATAAAGAGGGTCAGCCCAAGACTGCTATAGCACATTGCATATCAAAAAGGGTGCTCAACTATTGATAAAAACAGGGTCTGAAGGTTATTGCACTGACCCTGTAAAGTACAGAGTCTGTTGATGGCACCACCAAACATTATTTTTTGTGCTTGGCTGAGCTAATATTCAGTTTAAGGGTTTATTGATTTGAAATTCATAAAAGAACTCATGATAAAGGAGTAGCAAAGCTCCCCCTTTTGCAGAAACTATCTCCGCTTTTCCACAGTGTTGCATTTATTTGTATATCCACATATATATGGATGGAAAGATCTATGTATATTCTCTGACTGCAGTTAATTTTTGACTAGAATAAATTGTGGCTAACAATCTAATTTTGAAATAAATTAAAATTCATTTTTAGATAAGGTAGTTTCAGCTTAAAACAATATCTTAACATAGTATCTATAACATAAAAAGACCTCCTCCTTCTTCAAAGTAAAGGTATAATTATGTTATAGATTAAGTGTTCACGAACTGCACACTTTAAGAAATAGCTGTTAACAGAAATAGGTCCTTCATACTTACATCACTCCAGAAATAAAATAACTGTGGTAAATGGGTTTATTGTAACAGTAAAGCTGTAGCAGAGAAATCATTTTTCATTCAATTAGGAGGTTTTGTGCTATTTATTTTATTACCAGCTGCTACCAAACAGATCCACCATAAACAGTTACTGAAATCCTGTTCATCTAACAATAGAGGCAGTCAGATCTTGTTAAGAACCTGTTCTGTCTTGGTGTTTATTTGAAATAGTAAACAGCTTCATCAGAACTGGTCCACTCCACTTTTACCTAGCTGAACAAATTCTTAAAAGCTGTTGGTTCTTGCAGGTTGTATTTTCAGTGAAAGTCATCAGCCAAAACCAAGTATTGGCTTCCTCAACTGAGTTGCTCAACTACATCATGTTGATAGATACTGACTTTCGTAAGGTGACTTTTTTTTTTTTTTTTTTTTTTAAATTACAAAGCTGTTAACACTTCCAGTTCCTATAAACTTGGAAAGTGTTCTGAAAACGGTGGATTTTGTAGATCACCTCTTATTAAAGCAAGATAGCCTTTTCTGTCTCAAAAAAGGGGGCTTTAGAGCACCTCTTTTCCTCCATTATCCATCGCTAGTTCAATGAGGCATTTAATTGTAACTTAGACAAACACACCTCCTGCATTCAACAGAGCACCCAGATGGCCCAGGAGCACCATGTGGACACCTTGCCTGTAAAAACGCCTAATTTCTAGAAACAAATGAGGAAATTCCGTCCTTAGAGTCTACACCGCACCAGACTGTCTGCCACGTCAGGTTTACACATTTTAATAACTCAGAAATTCACATAAACTATTCATCTTGGAATAATATTTTTGCCCTGATGTCATCATCCACTAACCATTACCCTAATTCTCTGAAGTCTTCACAAAATGCGTTTCTAAAATCTTCATCCAGGTTTAAGGTGGATATTTGCTACCTCCACTGCTTGCTGGGCTCTTCTGCTTAGGACAAAAGGGCAGTAGCTGTAGTTCAGCCATGTATGTAACAAGGGAAAATGAATTAATGTGTAGTAGAGTAAGTCATCTTGCCAGAGGACTAATTGGCATCAGCAAATTGAACACTGTAGGCAATCTGGAATAAACAATTGCAATAAATTATTTCTATTAGGTATTTTTCCTATGTGAACAAAATTGCTAGAAATGAGCAGAACCCCTGCAGCTTTCAGATCCTTTATTAGGTAACCAAACATGCTATTTTACACAGTGCATTTTAAGTGCACTCTGGCAGCATACAAAAATAAACCAAATCCATTGAATTCGGGTACAAATATCTTACGGTAAAATAAATCAGTTAGACTTTGCAGGATCAACCCAGATACCACAGACACAGGATTAACCCAGATATTATTTTCAAAGGCTTCTCCACAGCTGATTTTAATGAACACTAATGTACAGTCTTTACACTCTACAATGACATTAAACCCTTACAGCATTTTAAGTAATACAGGGGCATTCCAGGCAACTCTGGTCTTTTTGACCTGGATTTATATCTTGCTCTGTATAGGCTGCAATACATACAATTCAGAAAATAAGCCATGCTTTACCTAACATTTCTGAAGGAAGATGGATGTCCTTATTTTAGGCAGAGATAGGTCTCGAGGCAGCATTAGCAGCAGACATGAAGCCCTTGCCAAAAGAAATTCAGAGTGAGGCGAGGGAGAGCCCTGGGGAGATGGGGAAGACAAGCAGCTTCTCAAATGCTAGGCAGCCAAGCACCATTTTGGCCAGCTCCCTGCTATTTCCAATAAGCAACCACTGTACTGAACAAAGTACAACAAGAGAACGCAGCTTTATTTCATAAGTCTCCACGAAGAATGGGAAATAACCCTGGCAGTGCCTCTTTCTCTCTCCTTTTTAAAAAAAGGCTTGGGGTAGTTGTCCTCCCAGTAGCTGTCACAGCAGTTAGGGATGAATCCTGAAATTTCAGTGAGGTGATGAAGGCAGCTTTTTGAGCAGGCCACTGCTCACTTATCTGAGGAAGTGTGTTGGCCACACACTTATCCTCAGATGACAAGTGAAGACACTGAATGGAGGGGCTGAGGACCTCCTACCATAGCTCAGTGCTCATCCTCACACCCAGGATTACAGACTTTAAGTCTGATCACTCTTTTAGCCGAGGAAGCTACTGTTTTAAAAGTCTGTGCCCTGATCTACCCTTTGCTTCCTGTGTGATTATCACTTCTGCTATAGGCTGTGAGCTAACTAATATAGAGATATAGTTAATTTTCACATGTATTAGTCAAGAAATCCATGCAGAAAGCCTGAACTGTAGGAAGTGGTAACCATCACAGGACTGGAGCCAGCTCCAGCTGACCCTACTGCACCACCATGAGGGCTCAGCTTTTCCCTGAGGAGGATGATAAAATGCAGTTTAGTAGCAGCTATATCACAAGAAATCAGATGAAGTAGAGCAGTTGCTGGAACTGGCTTCCCAAAGGGTTCTGCTTAAAGGATTTCATGAAAAGCATAATTCAGTTAGCTTGCAAACAGTTAATATGATAAAGGAAGAGCTCTGCAGCAAAAAAGCAAGCAAGCAAGCATCATGAAGGCGCTGGAAAGGCTGCCCTACTGCATCAGCCTATGCTGGTAAGAAGAAATTCTCCCTTGTCTGTGGCCCAGGGCCACCTGAATGAAATAGCAACTCCTGTTACCCCACAGAAATTCAGTCACATTTCTGATGACCCTGAAGACAATATGTGCCATCTGTAGATTTACAGTGAACCTGACGGAGTACTTGTGTGGGCTGCATTCAATTACTTGAGTTTAATTGCATTACATTTGCCAGAAAATTAGGCATAGTCTACGGAATATGAGTGTTTTGGAGATGCAGAGGAAGGATCCCGCCTGTGGCATAGCTGGAAGCCTGATCTTCCAGTGCAGGCGTGGGCAGAAGAAACATTCAGCACAGCACATCCCCATGCAGGTGCTCATAAAATTACTGTGCAAGCAACATAATTTTTTTTTTTTTTTTTAAATCACAACCCAGCTGACTTGCTGCAAGGAAAAACTGTCAAGTCCTGGTCATCTTTCCGAGACATTTTAATTACTGAATTCCTTAGGCTCCCCTACAGAACAAATCTAATGAGGTTTGACCACAGATGCACACTGATTACAAGAAAGATCGCACATACAATTCTTTTCTTCTCTTTGCTGCACATAAATGTAAAGGCAAACTGCTACTAGCAGGAAGGTCAGATGATAGAAATAACCAGGATGGCTTTCAGATGGTGTTATCTGCAGCTGTTATGGAGTCCAGCAGGAATGGAGATAGCTTGGCACCCTGTTAAAAAGGTGCCTCTCCATGTAGACATACCCATATGCATCAGCACCCTCCCTGCATGTACATGTACACATATTCTCCCATGTACTCCTAACAACTTCATCCTACAATTAAAGATCTAAACACACACACATGCATACTGTAACACAGACACAGACACAACTAACGACAGATTCCAGCACAATCTAACATAGATCTGCAGGCAGAAAATGCTTGCCGAAGCCATACGGTGCATACCCAACCTGCAGTGACTGGTGTCTTGTCATTATGTATAATAAATAGCAGCACTCTGTCATAGCAGCACGGCTGTGCTGCTGGTGCTCACACCCTACCAGCCCCATCTCTGCAGCGCAGTTCTGGGCATGAAACACATAGAGCGACATGCAGGCAGTGCTGATCACTGCAAGAGACAGGCTCCAGCAGTGAAAGCTGCTTCATGTCGGAGTGGGCTCTTCCCAGCTTTCCGACGTGTGATCTGCATCTCTAATAATGAACAGATTCAGTCAATCCATCCTTTCCGGCATCGATCCCTTACCTTGAAATGCTGCAGCTGAAGTATCTGGTCCTCAAGCTGCTGTCTCTTGCCTTCTATTTCCGTCTGCCTTTTCCTTTTCTCCTTGGAAAAATAATTTGAGGAAGAGAGGGAGGGAGAGAGAAAGAGAAGGAGAGATTGTCAGAGAAATGGAGGCTTTAAGGGTAGCAGATTCATAAGAACATGCAGGCAGCCACACACATCTGTGCAGATGCCACCAGTCCCATTTCACCTGTGCTCTGCTTGTTGGCTCACAGGAGCTACTGGGAGGGTGCCAGCTCCGACCCACTGATTGCTCACCAACAGGAGAAATTCTCCTCACTGGCTGCCGGCAGACAGAGCAGCAACAGCGTGCACAGTCCCAGAGGAGGAGAGAAAAAATTGCAGGTCGGAGGGAAGTTAAAGGGACATGGATGCACTTTTTTGTTCTATACTCTGGGCCAGGAATATGCAAGGTCAACAGAGGACATCAGGGCAGAAGGCAGATGGTGAAGCTACCAGACTGTACTGGGCTTATTTGCAGTGCAAATGGGACAGATAGCTCCATCCAAAGCACCCACATGTGCTAGCAGCTGGCCTGTGCTAGCTCCCAGAGGCTGGGCTGACTGAGCAGCTCAAAGGACACCATTACCACGTCCACGGCCTGTGATTTTTAAGGTCACCTCCAGAAACATGAATACAAGCCTGTGCTGGGCAGCAGGTTCTCCCATCTGCTTCAGGAGATCTAGCTGTCTTTCTCCTTACAAAACCTGCAGGGGTTGCCTGTTCTACGTTTTTCATGCTGCATGGGAACCACTTCTCTTCACCCACCTCTGGTTCAGATCAGATTAATGCTCCCAGAGGTGTAAATAGAATCACAGAATCACAGAATACCTCAAGTTGGAAGGGACCCAGAAGGACTATGTGTCCAACCCCTGGCTCCATACAACACTTCACAAACCCAAACCTTGAGCTGTGGCAGTTCCCATGGCCGCTGCCCTGAAGAGCTGTGCCATGCCCACCGCCTTCTGTGGCACAGCCTTTCCCTGACCCCTGACCATCCCCTGACACAGCTCCATACCATTTCCTCAGGCCCTGTCCCTGTCACCAGAGAGCAGAGCTCCTGTGTGGAGCTGCAGGCCACCATGAGGCCTCCCCTCAGCGGCGGCCTCCCGTCAGCTCCTCTGCTCTGGGCTGAACCAAGGGTTTGTTCAGCTGCAACTTGTACATCTTGTCCTGCAGACTCTTCACTGTCTTTTTAGCCCTTCTTTGGACACTCTCTAATAGTTTCATGTCGGTTTTAAATTGCAGCACTCCAACCTGCATGTAGCACTGAGCACAGTGGGACAGCCCGTCCCCTTGCCCAGTGGTGGTGCTGGGCCGGATGCACACCAGGATACAGCTGGTGCTTTTGTCTTCAGGGCATCTGCCCCAGCTTTTACTGGAACAACACCCTTTTTTATCCTTTAGCTGTTGAAAAAACGTTTTTATTATTTTAATGCTTCATAGCCGTAAAGGTGGGCTTGAAGACATTTAAGGATTCCTTGAGTCCCCAGAGTAATTCTTCTGTTCCACTTCTGGGTGTCCTACTGGGAATTCTCCACTTTCTAGGGATTTTAAGCCTTTATTTCTCATCCTCAAGGGACATATGATATCACTTATACACAAATGATTTATGTCTATATTGGACCTCAAACCAAGGCATTTTGAGTGAAAACCCTATATTTAAAAGGAAGATCAGGAAACTTTTAGTGATAGGTTCTCTCAAAACATGGAGTCAACAGCCTGGACAACTCCTGTTGAAGACTAAGACATGAGGTGATGAGAGGGCTTTATCAATGAACTCTGAAGAGGCAAAGTGGTCAAATGATGCATGTGTCAAATGGTTTTGTAATACACTGCATGGTCTTACATGCTGATTTTATGTAGAGAGATACACACGCACACTCATATAACTGTCTGAAGAGTTTAATAATACTACTGCTGAACAAAAATATTCTGCTGAAGTTATTTTGGAACAGGAAAATTGGCTTTTTGGACAACTGAAGTGTCACAAATTGTGCCTGTCATCAGCTGACAGCTTGAAATCTCACTGCTTTGTTCTCACAGAAGACAATTTGCCTTGTGCACACATAGGCATTCAAAATTTACGTATGTACCTTTAAATCCACTCTTTATATAAAATTGATAGCATAAGGAACACTCCTCCAATCCCCTCCTTCCCTCTGCACTTTTGAATGGAGCAGGACATTGCATGGCTCTGGGGTTAAAAAACTTCAACATGCTTCAGAGCTTTCTCTTTTTTTTTTTTTTTTTTTTTCTTTTTTTTAAAGTCTACAGTATTAACAGTGTACTTCAGAGAGCAAAAGCCTAGGAGTCATTTCTCTGCTATTTCCTCAAATAAGTGGTTAGCCATAGGTTGGAATAAAGTGGTCATAAAAGCTGTTCCGGTTAATGGCCTAATATTCTCAGAATAAGGGAAATTCTTTCCTGTTTGTGTCGAGCTGAACACATTATATGTGCCATAGGGCAGCATAAGGCACTTCAATCTTCACAGTTAACTGACCTACATTTCTGTGTGTTTATTGATATACGTACATATATATGTTTTCTACCCTTTAAAAAAGCTTTCTTGCTAAAACACATGATGGAAATCACCACACTGTACCTTCTCTGGCTGGCTGTGTCACGCCTTATAATGGATGTGACAAGACAGCCTTATAAAACATAAATGGAAACTTATTTTCTTTGGGAGAAAGGGAAAGCACTTAGAATATTTTCCCTGTAGGCAGAAACACAGCAGGCATTAAAATACTTGAACTACTTACTAACTAGTGGGCTTCTGTGGAGCTAAACTGGAATATTGCTCACAATACCACTTCACTGGCTCTCAGTCTAATCACATACCTATACCCATTCTCATTTTGCACCATGGCTGAATGTAAGGAGCATGATGACAGAAGTAGTTTTTTTTTCTTCTGAAGGCTGCATAATTTGCAACATGGGTAATAAGCTGTCAGGACTTTTCACCTTCAGGTCACTCAGTCACCTTATTGGTGGGTTCCTCTGAGATCTGTGACTATACATGTTGCTGGTATGTATGGACATGTTAAGAAAAGATGTGGTAAAAGTACAGGCTAACAAAGGTCTCACAAAAGCCAGCATCAAGGATTTTAGATATTCATTAGATGAAACAAATTCTCATTCAGTATATAACTGAAAATACAAAGAAGTTGAGTTCATGCTTAAACTGAGCCTTTTGTAAAGTATTTTTCGGTATTTGAGCCTGTATATGCTCCTCCCTCCTTATTCTGCTTGTCTAATTCTAGATATCTTTTTTTTCCAATCATGCCTAATAAGGTTATGTTTTACTGTGGATCCTAGCACTAGGAAAGTATAGTACTCGAAACAGATTCACACCAAACAGCTCTGTTTCAATACATATCCTGTCTGACAACACAGTGAATACTCCAACATTGCTTTAGCTATCTGTTGCTGTTAGTCACCCCCAAGAAATGAACCAGAGGACCCTGACAGCTTCAGCCATTCTATCCTTCTGTGATAACTTCTCACCGTGACCAAAGCGTTTTCTGCACCTCCAAGGACGAAAGTGACATTTCAATCTGCTCTTGCACAGGTTACATTATCATTGTGCCAGCCCATGGCCTCCAACCTGAGAAGTTTTCTCAGAAGCAGCTGAGAAACCCAAATGAAGCTTGCACGGGAAGGGAGAGATGGCTAGGTGTGATGTGGGGCCGAGGAAGATACCAACCTAAATTGCAAGTGAGCAACAGGATGGGATGTTGTACAGTTCATTTTTAGGATGCTGCTGAAAGCTGTAGGTTGGGGTGCCAATCATTACACAGACCCAGATCGCTGGAGTTATTCTGTGGACAAAAGGTGTCAGAAAGTGAAGAGATCATAAAAACTAGGCTTGTAGGAGGTGGTGAAAACGGGCATGGAAGCCAGTTTTTCTGTTTCTCTCTTACAGTAAGCTTATTACAAAATATTTGTATCTCTCTGAGGTATTCTGCTTTTACTCAGGGACATGATTTACTGCTCAGGGACATTTTTTTAGTGGAGAGTTGTTAGTTAGGGTAGTATGGTTAGGTCATGGTTGGACTCAATGATCTTTAAAGTCTTTTCCAACCTGAGTGATTCTATGATTCTGTGATTCTATACAAGTGCTCTTCATGGATAGTTAGTTACCTTTACAGAATGGAGGAGTACAGCGTACAGTCAGCACATTTTGAATATCTGGAATGTTTGCAAGACACTAACTTTACATCCCTCACTTCACCAAAAATACTAGGAACATTGGAAAGTGAAAGTACGTGACTTTTGTACTCATAGACCCAAATGATGGGAAAGGAACACAAGTCAAAGTACAAGTTGACTCACATCTTGAAATCTACTTTGTGAAAACTGAGATTTGTATTCAGGAGTTCACTTTTATTGATGAAAGCAGAACACGGAAGCCATGAGTTTATTTCCTTTTAGGATACTCCTGTTTTTGGAAAGAAAGCAATTGCTGCACAGCACTAAATATGTCCAATGCCACTTTTGTATTACGAAAAAAAAGAACAGCTGATAATCTATAAATAAAGAGTAGAAGAGAAAGAGAGTGAGAGAGAGAGAGAGGATGAAATGGAGATCTATAAGAGCATGAATGGATTGGAAAAAGCAAGTGGGCATCTCACACACTGTAAGATAGAAGGCTTCAATGAAACCAAACCAGATTCAGAGCCAACGCATGAGTCTGTCTTGAAAATGCCCAAGGGTGCTGTGGGTGCTGGAAGATGCTAGGGGCTTTAAGAGAACCTGGTCATGGCCAGAGAAAAGGTATACTCTAAAGGATGCCTCAAAAATTGAGTTAGATCGGGTTCATGAACCTCCTGGATCAGACATGTTTTTGACGATGACGAGGTACTTTGGAAATAGTCATACTGACTGTCCTTCTCCAGTGCATGTACTAATACCACCTATTTTATGGTTTTGTAAGAGGTGGGATGTGGGAGCTTTTGTCTGAGTCGAGACAGCTGCTCTCATGTTACGTTTGATCAAAATAATTTAGAGCTTAGTGTCAGACATGCCAAACCATTCCC